TTTGTGCCCAGTGTTCAGTTTAAAAGCTTCACTCCAGGTAAACAGCTAAACACAAAGTAAAAATAAACAGCCACTTCTTTGATTCATATACCTTTGTCAGACAGAACAGCCAGGAGGGTGATACCACTTTGTCTTTTTCTGTGAAGCAATAGACAAGGAATGACAGAGGCTAATAGGCTCCTGCTATGTGTACATATTCATTAAATTGGCACTGGTTTATAAAATAATCCCAATATATCAGTTCTGTCTGTGGCCTGTAGCATGTTCTTCTCTGATATTTTATTTACTAGAGTATTGTACTTAATAGAGTGTTGGTATCTAGAACTTGCTCATCCCCGTTTTTTGCATCGGACTCGGTTTCCATGGCAACTGCAAAAGCTCCAGAATAAGTAAATAGCTTATTGTTTGTGCTGCAATGTTAGTTTTGGGGAGGGTGAGGGAGGAGGACTTGGTCTAATGGTTTAGCGCTAACTAGACATCCGTTCTCACCCTTTAACAGGTCTGCGGTGTCCATAGGGACACAGCGCCATCCCAAAATACTACTTGGCAGTGTTCTACTCCTAAATAATGAGACGGCACATGCAAGTCTTCCTATTCTTTGCTTAAGGGCTAGTGGTGCCTTAGAAAGAATTGTGTAAATGCCGATTAATTTATGATGATCTAGAAGTGCACTGCAGTATTTTCTGTAATGCAAAGGTATTATACATTCTACTTTTGCTTTTGCATCAAACCAAATACTTTATTCTCGTATTGATCATGGTATGCTTAGAAAAGTACTGCAGTGGCCTAATGGTAGACTTTAATGTAGTCATTTGTTTTAGAACAATGGTAGGCCTTTAATCAATTGTGCTATTCTTATTATACCTTCTAATATATATATATATATATATACAGTAAACTCCCTGTTATCAGGCATCCATGGGGATTGCTAGATTCGGGATGAATGTAGTTTCTGGTTGTTACTATTAAAAATTGGTCTAACTAATGTCATGCCCAAACTATACCATACCATAACATAACAGAAAATCTGATCCTGTAGGATATATTACTCCTATGCTATATATCCTACACATGATGCTGATCATGCATTTGTGTGCGCTTCTCAAGCTTAGATTACAGTGTGTACTAGTGTGCACCAGCCATGCAAGAAGTATGGAAATGACCACTGCTGTCAGGCTTCTTAAATTGCGTGTTGCTTTCTTGTGTCATATTGTTTGGCTATATTATGCCAAAGTGTAGGTGTATTTAGGTTGGTTGAGTCATATTCAAGGTCAAACTAGACCTTTCTAGACAAACTTGTAGAAATATGTTTTACTATCTGGGTGGTCCCTATAATAAGGAAGCCTGAGATTTTTGCCTCAGGCACAC